CTTACTTCACATTTTTTTACCAACTTCTAGCTGCCTAATGGATCAAATTTAGGCTTAAGTAGAGCCCATTTTGTAACACCCAAAAATTTTTATTTTATTGGAATTTTGTCTAATTTTGTTTTATTTTAATAATTAAATTATAAGGTTTTAATTAAATATAATAGAAATAAAAAAATAATAATAATAAAATGGGGTAAAATTATTTTTGGGATTTAATTTGAAATTGATCTTGAGAAAAAGTGGTGAAAATTTGGATTCTGATGGTGTTTTTGAAAAGAAAATCAAAAACCAGGGGTCAAAACACAATTTAAAAAAATAGCGCCACGTCAGCAGCCGCGTCAGCAGCCCCGGCTAACCAGGAGATGCCGCGTTGCAGGGACGCTGACGTGGGAAGCCACGCGGGATGGCAACACGTGGGCGATCCGTGTGCGGGCAATCGGACGGTCCAGATTCGTTCCCGTGCGCACGGACGACCCAGATCAAAAGTGCACATGGATGGCCCAGATTTCACGCGTGCAGACGGCCCAGATTTGATCACGCACGGATGGTCTAGATTTATTTCCAATTTAATCGCGATCGGACGGTCCAGATTAAATCATGATGGAAGTCTCAGATTAAAAAGAGAAGGTTATAAATAATCGCATCCACACCCAACCTCAAACCCTAGCCGCCAGAACCCTCGCCGGAGAAGATGACCCAACCACTAGAGGAACCGGCCGCAAAACGAGGTAAAATTTCTCTCCTTGGCTCATTTTTCGATGCTGAGCCTCCCTGTGGCCAAATCAGAGCCAAACCACCAGCCAATTGACCGAAAAACATCGCCGAAATCCAGCGGCGCCGCCGCGGGTTTTTTCGATTTTTGCCTCCGATGAGGCCCTTTCCAATTCCCGTTCGATGTAATTTTTATACCACTGTAACCACCGTCCTTTTCTCTACAGGTTGACCAGAGCAAAACACTGAATCACAACTCGCACCCGGCGACGATCACAACTCGGTTTTTTTGGAAATTTTTGGCCCACCGAGGGCCCTAGGGGTGTTTTATCACAGGAACCAATGCAAGTTTGGCCAAATTTGGCCGAAAACGGCCAACCCAAGGCAGATCGCCGCCGTGGGCGGCGGCACTGTCGCCAGAGCCGGGCGGAGCCGCCGTGCCGAAATTTTGAAATTGATCGAAAGGGCCTTGGGTCTGATTTGGGGTTTTTTGGGGACATGTACAAGTACCGAAAGTGTGTTTCAGTTTTCGGAGAAAAATTCAGGGAATCTAGGAACTGCCCGTAGGCGCAATGAGAGTCCGATTTTAGACTCCGAAACAAGTAAGGATCACTCACCCTATTTCCTATTACAGCATTAAATATTAATAAATGATCAAAAGGTATGTTATGAATTAATAGTTATGTATAATTAATTAAGGTTGCTAATGGAGCCCGAATCTGATGTATTTTTCGGTCAAGTGTTGTTTGATTTATTTTACAGTTTTAAATGCAGTATGGTGCCTAATGTGTTTATTCTATGATTTCGTATGCATGAATCATGGTTTCATTTATTATGCTTTGAATTATTGTGAACCTGATGTTGTGTTGCCTTATTTGGTGTCCATTTCTGATTTACGTGTTTATGTTTGATTGGATAATTGAGATCAAGAAAAATAAAAAAAAGGTATGTGAATTGATAAATGGATAACGTCGACAGTCTAACTAGATATCCTGAGAGATGGTGGATGAATCGGGTCCATAGGGAACCCTACCAGGAACGTGGTCTCTCATATCGGACGGGGTATGGAGACTTTATGTATTTTGGCGCCCATACCGGACGGGGTATGGGGACGGCCCGTTTTACCCTCATACCGGACGGGGTATTAAGGTTTATGGTTTTGGCGCCCATACCGGACGGGGTATGGGGACGGCCCTCGAATTAAGTTATTAATGTGAATGGTTCACGTGTAGCGGGGACCCCCCTATGGGATCCCCATGGATACTAGAGGCTGGTAAAAG